CTGATCCGGGGAGGCGGCGGCGGCGGCGGCGAGCGCTCCGGGCGGATGCTGGCACTTGGGTTTCGCTGCTCTCTGGATGCTGCTCAACTTCTCTCCCAAGCGCAGAAGCTTTGAAGTCATTTGTTCCTCTCCGGTTGGATCGACTTATTATTTTGATATTTTGGGCGTTGCGGTTTACGCAGGAACCTCAATACTGCTCTCCCCCCTCCCTCCCCCTCTCTCTACCAACCTTTGGATGCGTCTCTGCTGGCAGATTTAAAGACCCAAGTCTTGGCTGTGGAATTTCTTAGATGGACTTGCAAGGGTTGGCGTTATAAAGCATGTCACCATAACCTCGTCTTTGTCTTTTTTTTTTTGAAAAGTTCTTTTGTTTTCACTTTCCCCTCCCCCCACCAATAAATTACCAAACTGTTACCTAGCGGGCCGGTGGCTGCCTCTCTCCCAGAACTAGGTGGTGCGTCTGCCAGAAAAGGAGCTATGTTTGAAGAGCAGCCTACTCCACCCCTCTCCTCTCCAGTCCATGAACGCCACCACACACTGGCATTTTGAAAAAAAAAATTGCCTCCAGAAACTGAGCACCCCCAAGCCCTACCCCCTTTTTTTTCCTCCTTGAGGAATGGAGCTTCGCAGAGGTTGTATTTAGATTCAACAGTTCAGAGCGGCGGGGTTGCTGCTGCCGCCTCTCCGAAGAGCTCGCGAGGCTCTCTGGAGGCGGTGGTCCCCGTGCCCGTCTGGATGCGGCTCTGAGTCTCCGTGTGTCTTTCTGCTTGTTGCTGTGTGCGGGTGTTCGGCCACGATCACCTTTGTGTGTCTTCTGTCTGTTTAAACTTCAGGATGGCTCGCTTCGGGGAGGCAGTGGTCGCCAGGCCGGGGTCGGGCGATGGAGACTCGGACCAGAGCAGGAACCGGCAAGGAACCCCCGTGCCGGCCTCCGGGCCAGCGGCCGCCTACAAGCAGTCGAAAGCGCAGAGGGCGCGGACTATGGCTTTGTATAACCCTATTCCCGTCCGGCAGAACTGTTTCACCGTCAACAGATCCCTGTTCATCTTCGGAGAAGATAACATTGTCAGGAAATACGCCAAGAAGCTCATCGATTGGCCATATCCTTTCTTGCCCACCATAACTCCCCTCTCCCCCTTTACATTTCTTCCGGTAAGAGGGGAAACCTAGCATGGAATTTACCCCCATTCCCTCCCTGGTGCCGATTTGCCCCTTTGCTGAAGTGCACTCTATACTTTGGTGCATCTAAGAGGCAAGCTTGGTGCGGTACAGACCGGTGCGGGCACTAGTGTTTTTCAAGGTAAGTCTTGTGATTTTTATAATTTTTCCTACGTGGAACTCTCCAACATCCCTGGGTGCCTGGTGTTGCGGTGTCTGCCCCTTTCCCAGCTGGGCTTTATTTGATTCCTGGCCCCCTAGTCCCTTCCCAGCTGCACTCCACATAGAACAGGTTGCCCCTAATCTCAGGATTTTCTTTCATACTCAACCCTTCCTCCTCTTCCCTCCCTTTAAGCCATCCCCTTTGCCCCCATCCCCACCAGCTGGGGAGACACCTACACTATCCGGCTGTAGGAAAGTCAAGGCTCCTTGAGGGGATGTATCAGTTCAGAGGCTTCAAGAGCTTTGAGCCAAAAACCCTGTAGGCAAATTGACAGATGGGTGAATAACACAGGCATTTGGCTTGGGACCCAGCTTACTCTGGGGACTGAGTTTAAGTTCCACTGAAAGTGAAGTGAATGAGTGTGTCAGGGGAGGCAGTCTCTAATGACACAGCCCAGACAGCTCAGAGTTGGGCTTCTCTTCTCAGCCACGAAAGAGCAGCTCAGTAGGGCCCATCCTTTCCTTAGTCCTCGGTTGGGTAATCCTGCCTCTTAATGCTTGGTCAGCTGGGTGCTCTCCCAGTACCCAGGATCCAGGCAGATATGCTGGGCCTGAATTCCTCAGAGGAGGGCCGCATCAGCTGAGCCCAGAGGTGTGCAAGCCATCTGTCTCCCCCTAGCTCCAAAAGAACTGCTCTCCACAGGGAGCTGGTGGGGGTGACTCTGATGGTGGCGGTGGTGTCAGGGTGAACTGGCATAGAAGGAGCTTCCTTGCAGGTTTAATGAAGTGAGTGCATCAAATGCTGGTTGACGATTAGGCAGCGCACTGCCTCGTTCTTCACTAAGAATATGGACCTCTGGCAAGGTTTTTAGGAATTGGGGGTTGCTGGATGGTGAGGGGGATGCGTAGGGAGCAAGTCCGTGGGATGGTGTTAAATATGGGGGTAGGCTTGGAGACATGGGACTTTGATGATTGTGGAGAGAGATTTCTTGGGAGAGATGCACCTGCAAAAGAGGCCCCTCCTCTCCCTCTCTAGCCTCCCTCCTCCCCACCCCCATCCTCCAGGTATGCAGCAGGGAGACAGCTAGAGCCACTTTCGGTCTCTAGTATCAGTGAGGCATGAGGCTCAATCCCCTCAGAGCCTGGGCATCTCCCTACTACCCCCACCCCAGTCTCTGGCCTTCCCCTCCTTCCTCCCTAGTTCCCTGCCTCAGCAGCACAGCGATTGGCTGGCGCGTGGTGCTTCTAGGCAGCACCCCTCATTAGAAACGGAGGAGCATCTCTAAGCAGATATTCTTCCTGCTGCTGCTCGCATCCTCCCACAATCACCCCTGGCAGGGCTTCCTCTCTCCTCCCTGCACTCCCCTCCCCATTCCACCCCCACAGAGTGATCCTGGGGCCAAACTGTGCCTGAGTTAAACCTATCTGGGATGAGGGGCACTGGGGAGGGGGAAGGGTCCGGTCCCTGCAGTCCGGCCCGCCGGTGCGCCGCACAGAGCGGCAGCTCTCATTGTGTTGCGTGCTGCGGCTGCGAACACTTCTCTAGTCAGGTCCCTACCGATTTTCCCAGCAGGCACTCCCCCCCTCGCCCGCCCACTCACCCACCTTCCACAATTTCTCTAATTTCCCACCCACCAGGTGCTGCTTTACGGTCCCCTTTCTTAGGGGCGTGTTTACCCAGACAGGCGCCCTCCCATTTCCTGGCGGTAGACAAAGCCGCCCAGCCGCCCTGCGGGTGGCAAAATGTGCCCGTAGCCATCGACGGCACCTCGGACAGCGCCACCGAAACTCCCCGGCGGCCAGGGCTCCACCGTCACCCGCTTTCAGCACCTCGGGCACTTCCGGCCGGGCCCAGGCTCGCGGGCGGGGAAATTAAGCACGTTTCCTACACCACGCGGTCCCCGCTTTTCATCACGTTTTCTCTTCCGCTGCAAAGACACCGCCTTTCTGGCCGGCGTTGCGAGCGGCGCAAGGTGCGCCCGTAGGGGTTCGCTGCGCTCTTTTCTTGTCTTGGGGCAGAATGCACCAAAGAGAGAGACTAGGGACTTGATTTCAGCATCCTACTCAGTGCCTTGGCCGTGAGCCCCATCCCAGGGGTCTCTTCATCCCCATAGTTGGAAGTTTCGCAGTGGTTCTACAGCATGAAGGCTGTTTGTAACCGTGTTCCGAGAACATCTGCTAAGGTGTATAGAGGAGTCCTGTTGGCAAATTAGAAACACACCACGTTTGCTTTTTATTCCTGGCTGTACAACGTGATTGACTAATATGTATCCCCTCTGGCGGTGACCGTGGGGAAACATTGCGCTTCTGTATACAGGTTCAGCGTTCTCTCTGATACCGCAACTAATTTACTTTCTAATTCTTTTCTGGAATTACCTTGCTTTTTCTTACTGGGAGTCAGTGTGAGTAGTGTTTACCAGTAAAGCTTTGGAGCTCTGCTGTCTGCGCTCAACTCTCAGTTCCCTCGCCAGCTGTGTGACCTTGAAAAGTTACTTCATTTCTCTGACTCAGTTTCCTGATCTGTAAAATGAGGATGATAATAATGCGTTACCGGGAGAATTAAATGAGTTAATATATGTCAGGTTCCTAGAACACTGCCTAATTACCCAGTAAAAACTAGCTATCATTACTAATAGAGTCCTTCAGTAATTTCGGCATAACTGAAGAGAGGGATCTTAGTTCTAGGTGAACTAAATCCTAGGTTTTTGCCTCCCAAAGACAGCAAAGAGCAACATCTTCATCACCTGGGGGCTTGTTAAAAACTCAGAATCCCAGCTGCAGAGAAGAAACTAGTGGTTCCTGCAGTGGGGGGAGGGGCAGAATAGGTGAAGGTGATTAAGAGGGACAAACTAGCAGTTATAAAATAAGTGAGTCTCAGGGATGTGATGTACAACACCGGGAATATACTCCATATTTTATAATAACTTGGTAGGGTGTCTAATCTATAAAAAATATTGACTCACTTTGTTGCACACCTGAAACTAATATTGTAAATCTACTTCAATTATAAGCAATTCAGAATCCCGAGCCACACCTCAGATTTACTGAATCAGAATCTACATTATAACACAATGCTCAGGTGACTAGCATGCACGTTGAAGTTTGGGAAGTACTTCTATGCTCTGCGTAAGGGCCAGCTTTTCACAGAAAGGAAGGTTGTTAAGAACACATGTCAAGACCTGCTTTGAACTGTCGTTTTCACATACAACGTGCTTGAGGATTTTGATTATTTGTGTAGCACACTTTTTGAGACATTGGCATCTCTTCCTGGCTGCAGAATGGCATGTAGAACTAGGTGGATAAAGTGCACTTCTGTGTGCCATGTTAGTGGCTTCTTAACACGGAATGTTACTGATCTTTAATCAGATTGGCCTGAAAACAGATGAGTTAAATAAATAAGGGATGATTTAATTTATACTTGTAGGACACTGACTTGGGCTGGGGGGCTGGTGGTAACCTTATCCAGTTGTTAATGGGGAAGGTCTCGTTCTTAAGGGAAGAAGTGCCTAAGATAACCCAGGTTTGGCATGAAAGATGGTGGAAGTGAACAGCCCACTCTGAATGTGTTTCATTTTTCTTGGAAGCTGCATCTGCGTAGGGAGATAATTTTATTTTCTTATGGCTCTCTTCTGCAGTGGATACCATAACCTTTTTGAAAATGCTGATCTTATTTAAAATATAGTATTACATTTTATATGATTCCTCCTTTCTTGCCCATCTAATAGATCTAACAAAAGGGCTTCTCTTTTTCTCAGGGAACTGGCTGTTCTGAATGTCATCCCAGGTTCACTGTGCCGTACTTAGCAGCTCTAATCCTTCTGTGCCCAGGGCCAGTGGCTCTGTGGACCTATAGGGTCTCTGGCATGGCTTGTGAGTTGCCCACTGCATGTTTGCACTTTTCCAAGTTAGAGGATAAAGAAAGAAATGGCCTGTCTGACTTGGAGACTCTGCTGTTGATGGGCAGTGGGAGGTTTCTGCCCCGCTGATGGTGTGGGTCATCTCAGCAGGGGACCACATGTTTCATGTGGAATCATTAGGGTCTAAAGTAGGATGATCAAATGTGTTTGTAGCCACGGAGCTGATGAAGCCTGTTATAATGAACCTGTGGATATTCATTTGTGATTTCTTGTTGCAGAGAATTTCATTTTAGCCCCAGAGGACTCCAGCTCTGAGTCAGAGGTTATGTAGAGAATTTCCCGCTGTAAATTGTCCATTAGTTTTTGGAGGATTTTGGTGAAGATTACTGAAAGCTTTAGTTCCCAAATCTCCCATTGTGGTGTATACTTTTCTCCTGCTTTGGTTGCCTGTAAATATATTGTACCTTGCAAGATAGTAGACTGTAGTCCTGGCAAGAATTTCAGGTTTGATGTAACTCTAATGGCTCATGAGTCAGAGCACCTTGATTAGGGCCGAGGGTGGCTGCTAACAAGGATGGGATCTGTGATTATATCGTGTGATCAGATAATGCAGAAAGCCTTCACATCTTCTGTGTACCCAGGCATGGATTCAGTGAAATGGATAATGATTGTAACTGGCACTGAGGCTGCAGGATAGAGGTGTTCATTTTCTGAGGCTCCCATGACAGTCTCCACATTGTCTAGTGGCTTTGCCCTTAAAATCAGGCATGGGCAGTGGTTCCTCTAGAAACCAGGCTGTGACTTGTCATAGGGACCAGTTGTAATTGGGCTGCAGCCTGGAAAGTGAGTTGGAGTGAAAGAGTTTGATAGAAATGGAATGACTTGAGGATGGCAACCAAAATATCTTGGATGTGATAGTTTTG